GGCCCGCCCAACGATCCGAACAACGTCGCTGAACAGCGGGCGCCCTTTCCAAGTCCCTGACGGCACAGCAGATGACCTGGGCGCCCGGGGAGCTACTTCAGACAAAAGGGTTTGCCGTGGAACCGCGTCGAAACGAGAGCGCGAAGCCTATTTTGGAACGATTGTCATCGTCACAGCCAACGAGAGCTTGCAATTGCAAGCGAGAAAAAGCCGTGAGAGGCCACCGCTAACGAAATTCTGAGGCGGTGACGAACTGGACGTGTTTCCATTTTCAGCATGCGCCCTGCTGTTGCGCTCCTGCGTTGCAAATTTATTGTCTGCGAGGCGGCTGGAAAATTAAAGTCTGTCTACCGCTACCACGTTTCAAGCTGTTTTGTACCGCCGGGAGAGAAACCCGCTGCCACCCCTCGGTCGAAAGCGCGTGAACAACTTAACTCGACAAAACAATTTTGTTTTTAGCCATGAAAGCTTCAGGCCTCAGCATTACCGCCATCGTGTTTCCATGCACTGTATGGGCAAGCCGGTTTCTGTCCTGCCAGGAGCAAAACTTCACCTAATGTTGTTGCGCAGTTGGCACCCTCCCAATAAATTAAGACTCTAAACACTTCCGTGTGAGCCGTGGCGCGCCTTCTTGCTGAGCACTGAAGCGGCGCCAGCCTGAAAAGGAATGACCATGAAAGACACCAAGTCTCAATCTCTGGGGTCTATCCCTGCCTGAAACCGTTCCCCCAAGCGAGGTTTGTCCGCTGCGAGGGCGGACACACCGCGGAGCGCTGGACAAGGCCCTGCCGGGCATGCTTCCGCATGAACGCGGTGTCCTGCGCCTGAAAGCGCCAAGGCAGTGTTTTAGTTCAATGTGTCGGGGCTGAAATCGAAACAGGAAAGCTCAGGTTGCGACAGTGCGTGGCAGAGCGGCAGTGCAACCATCATCACAAACGACCATATGAGACGTTTAATGGAATCAGAAAACGCTCGCCTTTCACTCAGAAACAGAAACAGGGCCTGCCTTCGTCGGCAATTGCGGCCTTTCCGGGACCTTGAAGCAACGGATCATTTTTGATCTGTGATTTTTATAATCGGGCCTAGAAGGGCTATGACTATGAACAAAACACTCTCCATACAAGTCCGACTGAGTGGCTGGCCGGAGGCACGCTGCCGTCGACGCGTGCGGAGAATACCGTGGCTAGCTAGAGGACGGATTGTTCAAGTTGCTGTGCCAAAAAAAAACCAATTTCCCAACAGTCACTATACAGGCCCTCACAGACCGCGAAGAAGCACGAGGTACCTGACCAAGTCAAAGCTGAAGCAAACTCAATCAACTCAATCCAACAGCTTGGCGCATCGCAAAACAAGCCCCCCAACGATGATAGGTCTGCGGATGGCCTCGGATGAGGCTTGAGGATTGTCGACACGTGCTATGTCTGCGCAACTAAGGGCGTAGCCGTTTTGGACTTGCTCTTCTTTGTCTACACATGACAAGCTTGCAGTGACATTCTTGAAGAGGTACTGTAACGTATTTCGTTTTGATTTAGATTATAAATACTTGGATCACCCTAATCTTGCCTTGGGCGTCGCCGCTTTCTTCCTTGGCCGCGCCTGCCAAGCGCAAACGCAAACTTCCACCAGTGAACCCTGGCCCGACAGAGCGACGCCTCGTAGAAGCGAAAGTGGGCTGTCTGCGGATAGACCTTATAGCATTAAACGTGAACTGCCCGACAAGCTTTGACAGATTGCGGCAAACCGACAAATCACTAAGAATTCCACAGGTCTCCACACTTTCTTCTTTTTTGGCTTTAGGTTACCTCCGGAGTTTGGAACCTGGAGCGCGAATTGCTGACACAGTCAATGAACCTTGCAAAACAGCCTTTCAAAGCAAACGTTTCCCGCGAATGCCTGTACGCCGCTCTGCAGCCAGTCCAACTCCTGCGGGCACATGCTTCAAGCAAATTTCTTTGGAGCGTGGAACCCGATATCGGCAAGTCCTCCTCTGTAAGCTCGGCCTTAGAAACTAGCGCTTAGTCATATAACTTTATCGAGCGTCCAGGAAGCAGCTGAGACACGAGCTGGAGAGTCGTTCTCGGTCGCCTGCCAGTTCCAAAAAACCAAACGACGTGATTCTATCGTGGCACCTTGAAATCTGAGGCCGCGTCTGGCGAAGCATTTTCAAATGGCTTCGCCTGCACGATTGCGGAATCGAGCAGTCACGACGTTCAATTTAGACAACACGCCGCCATCGAAGACGCGCGCAACAACGACACGGCCTGTCCTTGTGCAGAACAGCCTCCTGGAGCGCCCGCGCCACGTCGAACGCAAGCAAAGTCAAACAACGCTTTAACTCGATTCCATGGGGAACGCTCATGTCACTTCGCGCCTCTTCGTCGAGAGCCGCTGCTTGCTGTTCCCACCAGGTGTGCAGACACCAAACCTACGGCGACGAAGGCCGGAGATCGAACCCAGATGAGGCCCACGCCACGCTCAGGTTGGTGCGGGGTGGCCAACCAAAAACACGCCGGTGAAGGTGTGCTCCTGAAACAGATCACCCCCCGAGAATTCGGCGACCGCGAAGAACGAAACCATGGAAGCGGCGCAGTCAACAATTTCACAAACGACTTTCATCCGCGGGTGCACAATAGCGGCCTCGGTGACGCCGGCCATGATGAGAAACGCGACAGAAGAACTACAGAAACGGAAAATGTGTGCTTTCATGCGGTGGTGCGGTTGCTGTGTGGACGTGATTGTGCGCCTTCATGGGCATGTGCACGTGAGAGTGTGTGGGTGTGTGTGGTGCGTGCCGTCGGCGTGCAGTGTTGTCGAGTCACTTGTCTCAAGCCGAAGCTGTGAAAAAAAGGTTGCAAATCATGGGCCATGGGAGATATGTCAACAACAAACACGTTTATTGCGTTTTGGTCTCAAGTGGCTAGAGGCAATCTTTTTTGTCTGCAGCGCGCGCTAGGCTCAATCCGCGTCAATCCTGCGGCACGTCAACAAGCTGGGGTCTTCAGTTTGCAGGCGAGGAAAGAAGCAACGGAAAGACCGGATTTGAATGTCCTCTGCGAGTGATCTGATTCCAACTCCAGCTCGCTGTCAGAGGGCGCCTGTCCATCTTTTTGGATCAATTTTGGCAAAGCGCTCTGCGTCCGGCCTCCGACTGCTATGAAGGGCAAGTTGTGCTATCGCCGTCCGACTCCGGCTGGGAATCGTCCGCGCTGTCCTCGCAAATGCATGGGGCAACTGCAATAAGAAAACGGGCAGGCCGATTTCAAGGCACTAGCCACGGAACTCGGGAAGGCACAGCTGCGGGATCTAGATCAAACATCTCCTCGGGCAGGCCGTGAGGCAAGCAAAGAATGCATGGACAAGGTGAAAGAAGACCCCTAACTCAGAAACTTCAGCGACTGAGAGTTGGACCCCGTAGAGGCCATGGACGGTATTCACGACGGCGGGGTTCGGAGGGGGGTCGGCCTCTGCCACAGCTATTACGCGGTGCTATTACGCGGTGCATCTTGCTTGTCTGTATTTTTATCTGGGTCTCGGACGAAAAAGTCCATCTCAGGATCCTCTTCCTGCAAGACTTTTACAATGAGTTGCGTTGGCTTCAGGACACCGCAAAGCTCACTTACATGAAATCTTGTGCGTTCAGCACCTCGACTACTTGACGCAAACCGTTGGGCGCTCCGCGGCAAACTAGGGGCCTCCAGAGGGGGAAGTCCCCCCCCTGCTGTGCTTGGTGGCTGTGCTTGGTGCTTGGAGACTTGGAGATGATGCGAGCTCCAAGACTATTTTAAAACATGGTCTTGAGGTGATCCAGGAAACAACACATGAGAACACAAAACATCTTCATCAATCATCAATCAACACACTTCGCAGCCTGCGAATTGGACGCTCCACGCGGTCCCGGTCCGGGTCGCTGTCTGCTGCGCCGAGCGGCGGGTGGTGTGCGTCTGGCCAGGCCAACTCATAGCCTGGCGAGGGCCCGGGGAGAGCGGACACGGGTGCGGCCTCGTGTCCCACGAAACAGGGACGTTCGAAGCATCCACACGGATCCAACTGGGTTTGAGTGGGAGGTGTCGGCAGTTTCCGAAGAAAAGGGGGGGAGTTGCAGCAGATGATCCACTGGGTAGGGACCCAGACCGACTGGGAGACCCACTGAGTCGCATTCCGGTTTCGCTTTGGGGCATCGAAGGAAGACCTCGCACGTTGTGCAGTCAAGGACCCGATGCATTTGAACGCACCCCGAAATGCTGTGTTAGCTGCTGAGAGGAAGAGAAAAGGTCGTACAATGGAATAGCTGCGCAGTGTCCATTTTGGGAGGTTTTTTTTTGCCCGCTGCCCGCTGCTGATGATAAGCAAACTTCAAAGGTTCTCGCGTGGTCAGGTCAGATTTGTTGCATCTCAGGCGAAATCTTTGTTCGCCACAGAATGCTGTACATAAATTATATGAATGATATGATATCAAACGGATGCCTTCAGCATGGCTCTGTCCAACCACTTTCACCCATCTTTCACCCACCAGCTCAACAGCACTGACCCCATCTCTCCCTGTCTCCACCGTACGCGTGGGCGGTCGAAGTCCGAGTCCAAGGGCGGTCGAAGTCCACGCGGCACCGCGGCGGTGGTTTGGCCGCGCGGCACCGCCGTCGCGGGTGGCGCCTGAGTGGAGATACACACCGTAGGCGTAGAACATCACCGCAAAGAGGCCTCGCGGTTGGGCTGTGCATTGGGCGGGGTGTGGTTTTGAGATGTTTTGAGACATGTGGAGTGGAAAGGTTGGCTGCTTTGAAGATGACTTTGCCAATTGATTCCACATTGGGAGCCACGGAAAAGCTACAAAATGATCAGGTGAAAAGCTAAAATATGATGAGTTCCATGGAATGGGGGTTTTATAAGAGCTGGTTCATCAGTTGATCGCCAACACCACACCCCTGTGAGCCTTTGATTCAGATTTCGAGTCGATCTGAAATGGTGAACAAACTTCTCTGAGTCCCTAACTCTTCGCTGACCACGGACTGCAGGGTAATCTGTGAGTATCTGTTCACAATCTGGTGCCCTAAACCTTCTGCCATGCGAACCCAGCCATCCCAAGCGTTGGCGTGTTCCGCGGTCTCTGGTGTCGGGCCAAAAAGCACGTCCATGTTGATTGGCATAATCACCTCAGGGTGGGGGGGAAGGAAGACCGAAGCGGTCACAAAGTCTGATGGCCAGGCATTGAGATGTTCATAAATCCAGAGGCTTTTCAATCAAGAGTCTGCATGTAGTGAAGAACCACAACGGAATCAAGAAGAGAAGTGTATACGCTGACCTTCCAAGCACCCCTTCACCCCCTGCGAAAGAATAACACAGACGCTCAACGGACCCCAAATCCTTTTCCGTCGTTTTCAACGACGTGACTTGTCTCAGGGCAAGAAATGAAACGGAATCCGATGGTGCGGTCCAGCGGCAGACAGCAACATTGGCATGGTGCGCACGAGCTGATCCACGGCTTCATCCGCGATGACCTCACTCGCTGGGACCCGCGAGGAAAACCAGGCGACCACGCTCAGCGGTTCGTTCCACCCGCATCCAGGGGGTACCGACCCAGCTGTTGGGACCACACGGACTCCCCAAACTGGCTTGGTCTTCGGAAAAGGGTCGAAAACCACGAGGTGAATTCTCAGGGGGTCCATGAAAGGTCAAGTATGGCGGGGGGGTGTTGAGATGTCCTGGCAAACTTCGCCCCATGTTGCTGCAAGGAAGGGTCCCAAGCTCCCGGAGACCCATTGGTCCCATTGATCGTGGGATCATTCAAGGTCCTAGGTCAGTTTTGTCGGTCAATCAGTCTCTTGGAACTGGCAGTCACCTGAAAAATCCTCTTCACACTCGCAATGAGACATGGCCGAGCCGAGCTCCTGACTCCACAATCCAAATATCCAAATTCATAACTCACCGAGCGAGCGGTGACTCAGCTCATACCGCTTCATCACACTTCATTACCGCCCCGCCGCCACCCGAGATCTACCCGAAGAGTCCCAGACTGAGAAGGGCGTGGGGTTGTAGAACCTGAGCACCGCACCGGCGACGCCAAAACACCGAAGCCACACCGCACTGGGGCGGGCACCGGGCGAGGTCCGAACACTGTAACTTGGGTCCGGTAACACTCAAGCGAGGATCCAGGTGCGGTTGCAAAATCGACTCTGAAGGTGAAAGTCCGCATCTTTCATGTTGCTTTTGGAGATGTTGGTTTAGGCTTTAGGCTTTAGGGATATGTCGGTTCTTGACTGAAAGGGCCTGGTCTCAAGTACGTAGGCGGTAATACCAAGCGCGGCCGAGAAAACAGGGTTGAAAAGAACGAAGGCATCCCTTTCGTCCCCCCCTGGGCAGCACTAGTGAAGAAGAGGTGGCCCTTCAAACATGAAGGACCACCCATGCTCTTCAGCAAGTAACAAACCGAAGGTTCCACTTAATGAGGACCTTACTGTGCCGATCCAATCATCTGAGAATATCTGAGAGCTCCACTTGTGGTGGCTCTTGTGCTGCTTCCACATCGCTGGCACCTCCCACTTCCCACAGCTGTTCTTACGTATACGCTGCAGGAAACGGGCCAACGCCACGAGAACATCACACCGCGAAGCGTGAAGTCAGTCCGATCTTCTCCAATACCCGGCCATTAGATGCCATTACAAGACATCCAAAACGCTCACCCAGCCAGGAACACCGCGCGAACTCGTGCTGCGAACCGCAGTGTGAACTGAACTGTCCCCGGACCTTGGGGGGCGATTCCCGAATTCTCTCTGTGTAGTCAGTGTAGGCTCTTCTCAAGGTGTTGGCTCCCAACCAAAACGCCAAAGGCCAGTCTCAAGAACCTCTCCACATCTCATTCAAACGACCTTCGAAAGCCTGATGTTGCATCACAAACGACCGGGAGCGAGATGTCCGGAGCCCTGTGTCGCACCTGATGCCCCAAATAGTGATACCCCCCACCTAAGCTGCCACCGCTCGCGCAGAGAGCTGTGCCGCGATGAGATGGCACATGAAGAGTCCGTGACCCAACATCGCTGGCACTGTCGATCCCCTCCGCCAGTGACCGACGACCCCTTGAGACGAAAGCACCAAGTCGGTGACGAACAAACCCCAAAAAGACTCTTCGTTCCACAGAGATCCATGGCGGTCATGTTACATGTTACATGTTCAATGGGTCATGAGTCATGTGCAACTCCAGTCGATTTACTTCATGTGGAGCACGTCAAACAAACGCTGAGAGTACCGGTGCAATGGCCCAGACCCGCCAAGGACGGACGTCCAAAAAGGGCGTCCGAAAAAAGGGATCGATTTGGTGAATGATGCCCAGACCGGATTCCCATTGGATCCGGTTTTGCACACGTTCTGAGGGGAGTATCTCTCTATTAAATCAATGCAACCGGAAAAGGATGAATTCAGAGACCGTGGGCGTGGCGAAGGTCCGTGTCTCCCAGCGACGTTCCGTGTCTCTTCTGGACGAAGCCTCCGGTGACATGTCACCGGAAATTCTCATGAAGAAGGATCACCCATTCCCAACAAGGATTCACTGCGTTACATGTTATTATGGTTTTTTATGTTAGGCTTTGCCCCAGCCTGTATTTGTAGTCATTCTGCATCATTCAGGTACTGCCGTTCTCTTACCAAATTCAGGTACACCAAAACCGTTGGGAAGTGCTGTTTCAGCCTGACCTCAAAACCTGTTTTCGCACATTTGTCCATGCGCAGCACGGCCATGGCGCAGTGTGTCAGTCAGATGGTCGATCGAGGTCATTGAACGGGGTGGACCAGAGACGGAGCCGATTCAGGTTTCGCCATGTTTCGCCCGTGTCATACGCTTCGGGCGAAAGATGCGATGAAACATGGGATGAATGTGGAAGACAACAAAACTGTTTCCAAATATGTCTGAGTCACAGGTTCATTTGACCAATGGGTGACTGGGTGGTACACTGAACCCGGGCAAGCAAGGAAGGACATAAGCGGGCTTTTCATGACGTGACGAACCGACCATCAGAACTTCAACTCCTCTCCACCCATTACGCTTAAAAAAGGTCGACCTCTCCAAGACCACTCCAACCTCCAACAACCCGTCAGAACCAACGACCTCTCCTGCCCTCAACGACCTCGCGCGTGCCCGAGCGGCTCGAAGAAGTCGATGCTGATGATCAAGGCCGCCAAAGAGCCGAGATGCCATCCGACCGACCTGGCACGCCCGACGCAAGGAGCACGCACGCCACAAAAAACACCACCCACGTCCTAATCAAATCATATCAAATCAACGTTCTTTCATGGACCACAAGGGGATGCATCAATGTACTAATGTCCCATGTCCACCCAAAACAAGCTAATTACTAGTAACTACTAAGACTCAAGCCACGAGCAGGAATTGGCCATCTCGCCAACTGATGCAGCCCCATGCCCATTCCCACGCGCCTGCCACCCCATCCACAAAAGGCTTGGCTCTTGCCCTGCGGTGGGGGGGGCTTGGCTCCGAATGTTCCGACTGAAAGGTGCCAACCCGATGTTCAACGGGGTTTCGGGATCAAGTCCAAGCAGCTTGGAGGCGACTCCGGATCAAGCACAGTTGACATCAGAAAGACTGGTGATCACACCCCAAATCAAGGTTGCCCCCCAAAAAATCGACCAGGGTTCACCAAAGGGATCGGGGTGTCACTCTTCAATCCTCACTGAAAAAATCTGAAAAAGGGGGGAACCTCCCGAAGAAACCTCCGGGACCGCAGAGAATCCAGAGCTCTGTCAGGGTCCCCCAACATCACCCCCTTTTTGCGCTATGGAGGAGAATGGAAGGCAGCTGCCTAGAGGTGAATCCTTTTGGATGGCCATTCCTTGGGCGTGAGAATGCATTCACCAGATTGGCCCACGCCGCCATGAGTCATATGTGTTTTGGCAGAGGTGATCAGTCTTGGCAAGATTTGTGCCTTTGGAACTGCTCAACGGTTTTCCCCAACTCTGGGCAACACCTGAAAAACCGCCCTGACCGTGCCCCCTCCTGAGCTGCCAGGTAAAGCGACAGTGCTGGCAACATCGTGGACAACGAGATGCACTTGATGGTGAGGAGAATCTGCCACCGTCGACGGTCTCGAGTCCATCCAGAGAGCAATTCATGCGGGTCAAGTCGGATCACATCAAATCCCAGAACTTCCGTGACTTGACTCACTCCACCATGGTAGTCACTGCCAGATTCGGGGTAGTTCATGAGTCATGACTAAAGTGTCAGGGTCAGGACTTGGATGGACCCGTTCCAGCGACTCGCCAAACAGAGAAAGGCGCACCCCAAAGCCGAAACAGGGAGGCTGATGACGGATCATGAAGATGATCTAAGCTCTGGCTCTCATCCCAGAAAAGTCGGACTGTCGGATTGAGGATTTCCTCGATGAAAGACTGTAGACACAGCATGACACAGCCCTACAGCTGTTTCAACCATCGAAACAGTGCTGCAGGTCTCCTTCCAACAAACACGTCTGGATCTATCTTTGCTTTTGAGGACCAAACTTGTTGCACAAGTCCAGCCGTTGTTTGGACAAGGTCCTGTGATAGTCCTTGCTGCTAATCACATGGAAACTATTCACACATATTCACACCTTCTTTTGCCATGCTTTATATATTGCTGATAGCTGAGAAGTCAGAGGTGAAGGGTGAGTTGTTTAGGGTAACGGTTGCTCCAGATGTGGACCAACGGGGAACGGCCATGCGAAACCACGAACGCCATGCGAAACCACGAACGACCCCCGCGACGGGTGACTGGCCCTTTTCGTGCCCTTTCACACGGGGTGCCCTTTCTTCCCCCGTGAACAGGATCTTGTCCTATGCCCCTAATGGCAACCTTTGGCTGTGAAGAGCATCCAAAGTGCGTTTCAGGCCACTGCCATCCCCCAAGATGCCTGGGCTTGGTGATGTTTTTTGCCCATTTGAGGCGAACTCCAGATGTTTTATGGTCAACAAGACAGGTTCCTTCCTGTTTGATTGTGCTGTTATAAAAAACGATGGACCTTTCACCGTCCAGCCAACCTGCAACCGCTCGCTCGCATGGAGCGCTTGCTCAACAGTCCCACTGCTGGTGGAGCACCCAAACAGGAGCACCCATGGCCCCAAGCCATTGATCAACAGGCTCTGACACAGGGTCGACACAACACTTCACTCTCCTGGCTCTCCTAGCTTTCTCACATGTCCAGTTAGTACCAAGCCCCAAAAGATCTGCCCGCGGGGTTAGCCAGGCCTCGGTCCTCACATGTTCCGGCTTAGGGAACTTGGGATTGCACTTGAACCTCCACACGTCGTAGCTGGGATTCCTGCGATGCCAGGCGATGGGAACATGGGCCAAACCATCCATGGGACTAGACTGTGACTTGCATGGAGGGAACATGTTCATGGGGTAAACTGTAGGCAACTCCCCGGTCCCATGCTCGGGGATGTCTCACAACTGGACCGTGGTCTTGGGCTTCGCTTGTCTCAGGCCACGAGCCGTGGGTCGTCCATTCCTCGGTCCCTAAGACACCACATCTGAAGTGAGACATGATCCTCGCCCAGCATCCTCGCCGTGGACAAATCGCCCTCGACCGTCGAGTGTAGAAGTGTGATGCAAAAAAAGTGGGCCAAGTCCCTAAAAGAAGGGGGCCAAGTCCCTGATGAATTGATGAATCAAAAAGCCAGTTTCAATGGTGGGGCGTAGATTATATACAGATTGTTTCCAAATCTCTGACCGTCTGAAAAAATCAGAATGAGCCAGCCAGCCTATCTTAAAAAGCAAGAAACCATCACACATCCATGCACGTTCCCCCCAACAACCAACCAGCGTCAATACGGATATAATGTTTAAAAAAAAAGAACTCAAACAAATCACACAGCTCAGCCGTTATAATCACTAAACAATCTCATCCAACGGTCCAGGACCTCTATCTCATGGCTCGTTCCCAGGTCACCCACCAAGCCGATCTCGGTCCAGTACAGCTTGGCGAAGGTCAAGCTGCTCATGCCGAGGCATGACGTAAGCCCCAGGAAGGTCAAGACCAACCACATACCTAGGGTGCAGGCCATCGCTCTTAGGGTGGAGGCCCTGGAGGCCATCGCTCTTAGGTTGGTTCGGGTTGTTGAGGTTGTTCGGGTTCAGGTGGGATGTTCCTCGCCCAAACAAACACCCAAAGGTGCCCAATCGTCCTACAGGTAGGAGAAGTGGCCTACGAAGTTCGGAGGTGGAGCTTCTTCAACCATGTTCCACTGGCAATAACCGTTTTTTTCCAAGAACAGAAATGAACAGAACATGCTATGGTTTCAAAACCTGATGTCAAAAAAAGTCAAAATCACTACATGTCGAGTTACTATACAGTGATATACAGTGTGTATGCATGTGTATATATATATATATATATGTACACAGCATAGAAATCCATGAAGACACCACCATTGCGGGGCCTGGGGCCTGAGTCATATAGATTGATGAAGCACCTGCCTATAATCGATCCTACAAGTAGAAGTTTGGATGAGCTCGGTGATTGAGATAGCTCAGCGACGACTTCGTGCCAGTTCCCAGAACAGAGAGGCTCTATTTGCTGGAGCACACGAGATCTGGCCTCCGAAAAAAGGCCTATTGACTAGGTGGAACAGGGCCAGCCCACCTTGTCCGCTAGTTCCCTCCACAAACCAGCATTTCCACTTCCACGTGAGGTTTTGGCGGGTGGATCTTTATGGAGTTTTGCAGCTGCTGTCCATCCAAGACTACAGCCCACCCTTTCAGGGGCTCTTCGTCCTTTCTTTGATCCTCTTAGGTCCTTTTCCCAAACATCCACGCGAGAACGGTGCAAAGGGAACACGCTTCATGAGTATTTCGTTGGAGCCATAAACCACATACGTCGACGGAAAACAAAAACACCCGTCAATCTGTGGGTCCCTGATGTATTGTTCATAGTTGTTTGTCCATGTTTGTCCTCTTTTGCTTCTCTTTCCTCAACCGAAAGGCTCCCTGATGATGTTGAGCCAGGTTGAGCCACTGGCAATCAGCTCATGTCTCAGAAACCTGCCCATAGCCTGTGTGAACCCCAAAAAAACACACGACAGTTCGCAGACCGAAAAGCCGGACAAACCACTTCACTCGTGTTCCGTGCACGTGGTGTACCAAGATGCTGAAGAGATTGTTCCCAAACATCGAAGCAGCCTCGCAGATCATGGCCTCCCATCACCCGAACGGACCAGGACCGGAGCCGGTCGACCCGGGTGGGGCGAAGTCGACCCGGTGGTGCGAAGATGATTGCCAGTCTGCTTGGTCTGGTGACGTGGAAGATGACCCCTTGGAAGACTGCTTTCCTCTAGCAGTTGTCCACTTCCATGATTGGAGGGAGGCTAGAAATCTACGATCGAACTCATACTGCATGAGGGTGTCGACATCCGTTTCCTTCTGCCCCGCTTGAACGCCGAAACCCGGAGCTACACTTGTGTGTGCGTGTGTGTCAACCTTAGGTGGTTTGATTCTCCACTCCAAAACGGTCCGAAACGCTCTTTTCCACTCCAGTGCTCTTCCAACTCTTCGCACAGCCAGCGTCGCGTCTTGGGGCCCACGGCCGAAGTCAAAGTGCGAAGCAAGAGTCCATCTGGCTTCAGCCCACTCGCTGCGAACTGCCTGAAGCAGGGGGGGAACGTAGCAGGACCGGTGAAATGTTCCGAGACAGCCAGTTGTTCACCTCAAATGGTTTTTTTGAGCCGTTTGATTGAACATCAACAGAGTCTCCCACCTGAAGAATTCCTCCGCCTTGGCACTCTCAATGGGCTTTGAAGCTGCACAGGCGCCAATTGCACAGTTCCAGGAAATCACATCGGGACTCAAGGAGGCCTTGGAAATCTCCTTCAACCATCGAATGGCCGAAGGCACATCTCCAGCCTTGCTGCATGATTTCAGCATCGTGTTGTAGGACACCAAATCCGGTGTCACCTCCTCTCGCTGCATCTGCTCCAGCAGCTCTGTGGCCTTTGGCAGATCCCCACGCCGCGCCCAGGCAGCCAAGAAGGCATTGTAGCAGGTGGCATCGGGCACTAAACCCAATGACTTCGCCAACGTCAAGCGCTCTTCAGCCTCTGCAAACTCCCCCCTTCCGAAGAAAGCCACTGATCAGAGTGGTGAAGGCGACCATGTCCGGCGTCAGACCTGAATTTCCGTCCCAAACCAAAGCATGGATGAAGAAATACACACTGACACTGCACCCTGGGACGAATAGACATCACACGAAAGTGGACGATTGCAGCGCACAAATGCATGCAAGACCTTCTTTTTCTCTACAAATAGAAGATCGTCCAAGTTACAAAGTCAGAGTGTCAGGATCTGGTACCCCCACATTCATCGCAGCAAACTTCCGAAGAACCTAACCTCTTCACCCGTCTTTACCGTTTTCACCCCAAAAGTGCATGTTACTGTGCTTTCATATACAAAAATGATCAAACATGCATTCTGAATCTCTCAACGCAAATGAACCACCGCCATTTTCCAGTTCAGGCTTTTGCAGAAATGGATGTCACAATGGATTGTTTTTTCAACCGGTCACCCAGCCTTCATCTGCCATGCGCTGGAAATACTTCGACGCCAAAGAGGATTTGCCCTCCTTCACGCAGCTGTCCACCACCGCGGTGTACGAGACCTCTGTGGGCAACACAGAGGAAGAGCGCATCTGCTCCAACCAGAAGATCGCTTCATCTGCCTCAGCGGCCGGTCATGTCGACTCTTGATTACATACATCCCGGTCACGACTCGAACGGCTCAAATCCATGGTTTCTGTTTCGGTCGCGCCTGGCTCGCTTTCGCCGCAGCGTTGATGACGCTGTTGTAGGCCTTGGCATCTGCGCGGATCTTCGTTTCCAGCATCTCCTTCAGCCACTCAGCTGCTTGTGACAGATCCCCTCTGCCGGCACAACTGTCGATGACTGCCGTGTAGCATTCCACACTCGGTTTCAGCCCTTCAGAGATCATGGAGCGCAACCAACGGACCGCTTGCTTTGGGCTACGTTTGGCGCTGTGAATCAGTGAGGTGAAGGTGACCTCATCGGGTTGGAGATTGGACTCCCTCAACTTCCTAAGCCATTTCTCCGCCTCTTCGTTTTTGGAACAAGAGTGAATCACCCCATTGAAGCACACGAGGCTTGGCTGCAGGGTCTTGGACAGCATCTCTTCCAAGGCATTCACTGCTGCAACCTGGTTCCGGTTTCTCACAGCTGCTGTAATGATGGATGAGTATGAACACTCAGTTGGTTCCAAGCCGGCCTCATGGATGCGCTGCTGCCATTTGGCAGCGCCTCGTTCATCACCCACTTGCGCAAAGCTATCCAGAACGGCATTGTATGCAATCACTGTGGGCGAAACGCCTCCGTGCAGCATACGAGAGAACCAATACTCGGCATCTGGAGGACTTCCGATGGTGGCGCAGCACCTGATCAGGGCGGAGTAGCAGTGTACGGAAGGGGCCACCTCCGCCTCGCACATCTTTTGAAGCCAAAGCTCTGAGCGTTGAAGGTCCCCAGCCTCGATGGACCAAATTCAAACATGATCGAAATTGAATGAAATTGATCTAATGGGATCTAATGGGTGAATATACGTGAATATGCTTTAAAGGGGAGACACCCGAGGATCTCGCCCCTGGCTGGGTTTAGACTGGTAGATGTCCCGAACCTTTCAGGAGGTCGGAACGCCTGAGGTCTCCCAGTTTCATCCACCTCTGAACCGAATCGAATCGCGTACGGCGCACGGCGCGAGTCGCGTACGCCGCACCGTCCCGGTTCGCCTTGGCGCACGCATCCAGCAAAATGGCAAAGGGCACAGAGGTGCGACCACGCCAGATGCTGGCCGTGTCCGACCGTCCCGAGAACCACGCTTCCGCGCCGCGCACGTCGCCGGCTTTCGCGGCCGCTTCCATCAACTTCCTGAAAGGGCACGGAGGGAGGAGGGAGGAGGGACGCCACAGAGCACGAGAGAATGACTGGACGCCAACGCTCGATGGTAGTTCGTTCCGTCCCCTCGGAACCAGCGGGTTGCTCGACGAAGTCCACCCCAGACAGAAAGACCCACATGGCAATGGTCCATGCTTGGGCGAGAAACCATCAAAGCATGGGCTGCCCTCTTACCTCACGTGCGCCTGGTATAGGAAAAAAAGAAACGACCTTTTTCTTAGGGCACATCATGGGCATCACGGGCATAAACCAGGATGAAATCCGGAACCTTGGCGAAGATGTCAGTTCTCCCGAGCACCCATAACGTATCGATACGTTCATCAGTTGATCAGTTGATCGCGCCAAGCTTCCCAAAGGTCTGCCGGTTGGGTGTCACTGAGTGCGTCTTCATGGCCTCGAAAAGGGCCCGCGCGCCTGGGACATCGCCAGCATTGGCGTGAGCCTTCAGCATGGTGTTCCAGACCATGCGATGTAGTCCACCTTCTGCGTGGGTCGTGGCTTGCAGCTTGCGAAAAATCTTCTGTGCTGGTTCTATTTGTCCAGCTTCTGCGTGCAGATTCAGCTCGTCAAAGATTCCTGCATCTTCTGGACGCACTGGGAGCCGCTCCTGGGCAGTTCTTGAAAGGCCTCGGAACCGGTTCCCGCGGCCTCTGCGCCAGAATCCCGAACAAGCCACACTGAAGAGTGAACATGCCTGCATGTGCAAATCATCCAGCGTGGTGTTTCTAGCTGGCTACACGAGGCCCAACGCCCTCGCATGTACTTTTTTTTGTGGAGACCATGGTGAGCAAACAAAAGCTCTGTCGAATTCTGTTGATGCTTGTACATATGTACATTGACAACCAGTGCGGAAACCATGGATCTATACATGAAAGGATGGTGTCTGCACGTAGTACTGTAGTTCTCAATGATGTGTTGTTTTAATGTTTTCTAATATAAAAGGCATTGGAGGGACTCTCAAGGTTTGCTTTTTCACTCCGGCCAACCAAGAAATTCATTTTCAGTAATCCAAAGTCGGCTTGTCGAAGGGCGGCGCGGCGGCGCGGCACTCTGAACCGATGCGCCTGGGACATGAACCCGCTACCTTCCCCCAGGCAGAATCCACCGAAGCTTACGTGTCCCATTCCCTCACGCGGGGTTCAATCCATCAACATCGCGGTTGGCCAAAAGAAGCGGGAGCGGCTGGTCCCCACTCCTTGGATGAGATTTTAGCCCAGCTGGAGCTTGGGAGGCAAGTGTTTTAATCTGGTCTGACTCCAGAGTTGCCCCAAATCATCTAAGTCTACAGTGATTGCCTCTTAACCAATGGGTTTGGGAATGGTATTGGTCTATGTTCGGCCTCCAGGGTGTCCGTATCGATACATGGTTCCATCAAAGGTCCACCTCTCAGAAGAAGGCCCCAGCGCCTGCGACGGAAGTCGAAGAACTGGGTGACAGTCAATGGGTGAAAAAACGAGGACGTCTTTGAGCCGAAAACCATGCCATGGCAGTGTGA